GGAAATTATCTGTATGACTTTAGGAGAATTTATACAGGAAAAAAGAGGAGAATATTCTACAGATCCCATGTATCCTTGTTTTTGGAAAACAGATACAATTTTAACATAAAAGAGCTTTTATTGCATTTTTCATTTGAAATGTTAAAATGAGGATTTCATTGTCTCCAAATCTTAACAAAAATCTAAAGATTTCTGAGAAATGTTGGAAATTTATGGAAATGAAATAGAGTCAGTGGGAAAGGTGAATTGGAGGGATTTTGTTGCCTTTAAAAGGCTCCTGAGGCTGCAGAAGCTCCTTTCGGCTACCTGGGACCCATCTTATTAGCTTCATTATTTTACTCTTTTTTTTAACAGAAAAACATTAAAATTCAAATAAATAAATAAAGCAAGGGTACCAAGTAAAATAAAAATGTCTTAAATTTTAGTTTAGAAATTAAATAAACTTAACTGCCTTAAGTACGCCTAAAATACATCCTCCAAACAGGGGCGGACTGACCATTTGGGAATTCGGGCACTGCCCAAGGGCCCGGGGTCAGTAGGGGGCCCCATGAGATGCCCCTGGTACCTTTCATAAGCTTTTTTGGGTATTGTTTGAGTGTGGACGAGGACACAGGGGCCCCATGATCCCCTATTGCCCAGGGGCCCCATAAGTTGTCAGTCAGCCCCTGCCTCCAAATATAGATTTTTTTTATTCAAAGCAAATTTCGCCTAAGACATTCAATGAGTGAAACTGAGTTTCCAATCTGACAAACTATTTAGCAAAATCACTCTGTTAATCGTTTACTTCAGGTACTTATATAGCGTTGTCAATTTACACAGCGCTTTACATATACATTGTACATTCACGTCAGTCCCTGCCCTGGAGGAGCTTACAACCTAAGGTCCCAAACTCACATTCACACATACTAGGGACAATTTAGACAGAAACCAATTAACCTACCAGCATGTCTTGGGGTGTTGGAGGAAACCGGTGTAGCACTACCCCCTTGGGAGTTGCTGGATGATTTTTGGCTACCTGTTGCTCTGGACCCCTCTCTGAAAGCAAAACCCCTGCTGACACCACAGTATGCTTTTACCTGATAAATCACCCTCAAAAAGTAGACTCACACACTGATTGGGATGACCTGGTAAAAGATTTATAGCAACTTCAATGTGGAAAGCCACACAGGCACAGGGAGAACATGCAAACTCCAGGCCATGGCTGGGACTCGAACCAACGACCCTTGTGCTGCCAGGCAGAAGTACTGACCACTAAGCCTCTGTCCTTATTTGTCATCTACCTAAAAACAAGGGATGAGAGGCATATTTAAAAGTTTGACACCTGTTTCCTTTCATGTTTCTGGCTTTAACAGCATGAGTGTCAAATTTACTTGCTGGGATTGAATCCAAATGAGTTACAACAAAGCCAATGAAAGAAAGGGCTCAGCTTTTACAGACAATGGGCTCACATCACACAAAAAACACATTTTCTCTGGTTTGGCTTGTTATTTTCTTGATTTTATGCCTTATATACAGTAGCTCTTATCTGTAAAATCTTAATTCGGAAAATACACAATATGTTTTATTTAACCTGTCCTATATATAATGATGTTCTGCCACTCAACACCGTCAGCATTTTCTACTGGCTATTTCTCTTTCTAAAATAAAGTTACAAAAATGTGCTGCGCTTCACTCAATAATGCTAATATCAAATAATAAATACATCCATGTGCTTCAATTGGTAATAAGTGCCAAAAAAATAAATAAACCAATATCAGTAACTGTAATCAAAAGCAATGTGTCTTTGTGTTCTGACTGGACTGCGCTGATTGACCCTGTGCTGATCACATGCAGAAAAAAAAAAGCAAACTCTCTAGCAATACACACCAAACTGAGCATGTGCAGCTTGCCTCCAAGGCTCTGTTCTATCAACAAATGGATTGGAGACAGTAAAAAAAGGGGAGGATCAGAGAAGACAGGATCAAACATCCTTTCTGTTCAATGCAGAGGATTAACCCCTTAGGTTCCACAGTGAGTACATCAAGAATGCTTTACTGCATATACAGACTGATTGTACTGTTGTGGTTTAGTAACACTTTAAACCTGGTACACATATTCATTTTTAATTTTTTTTTTTTTCCATTCAACCCAGCGGGCTGAACAACCAAACTGAGAGATTGCTGTACTAAGCAAGTGATGTATTTCTGAAGTATATATGGACTTTTTTTTTAACATGTACAGGTGAAACTCGAAAAATTAGAATATCGTGCAAATGTTAATTTATTTCAGTAATGCAACTTAAAAGGTGAAACTAATATATGAGATAGACTCATTACATGCAAAGCAAGATAGTTCAAGCCGTGATTTGTCATAATTGTGATGATTATGGCTTACAGCTCATGAAAACCCCAAATCCACAATCTCAGAAAATGAGAATATTGTGAAAAGGTGCAATATTCTCGGCTCAAAGTGTCCCACTCTAATCAGCTAATTAAGCCATAACACCTGCAAAGGGTTCCTGAGCCTTTAAATGGTCTCTCAGTCTGGTTCAGTAGGAATCACAATCATGGGAAAAGACTGCTGACCTGACAGTTGTGCAGAAAACCATCATTGACACCCTCCATAAGGAGGGAAAGCCTCTAAAGGTAATTGCAAAAGAAGTTGGATGTTCCAAAGTGCTGTATCAAAGCACATTAATAGAAAGTTATGTGGAAGGGAAAAGTGTGGAAGAAAAAGGTGCACAAGCAGCAGGGATGACCGCAGCCTGGAGAGGATTGTCAGGAAAAGGCCACTCAAAAGTGTTGGGGACTTTCACAAGGAGTGGACTGAGGCTGGAGTCAGTGCATCAAGAGCCACCACACACAGACGGATCCTGGACATGGGCTTCAAATGTCGTATTCCTCTTGTCAAGCCACTCCTGAACAACAAACGTCAGAAGCGTCTTACCTGGGCTAAAGAAAAACAGACCTGGTCTGTTGCTCAGTAGTCCAAAGTCCTCTTTTCTGATGAGAGCAACTTTTGCATCTCATTTGGAAACCAAGGACCCAGAGTATGGGGGAAGAATGGAGAGGCCCAAGGACCCCGAGTATGGAGGAAGAATGGAGAGGCACACACTGCAAGATGATTGAAGTCCAGTGTGAAGTTTCCACAGTCTGTGTTGATTTGGGGAGCCATGTCATCTGCTGGTGTTGGTCCACTGTGCTTCATTAAGTCCAGGGTCAACGCAGCCGTCTACAGGAGATTTTGGAGCACTTCATGCTTCCTTCCACAGACGAGCTTTATGGGGATGCTGACTTCATTTTCCAGCAGGACTTGGCACCTGCCCACACTGCCAAAAGCACCAAAACCTGGTTCAATGACCGTGGGATTACTGTGCTTGATTGGCCAGCAAACTCGCCTGACCTGAAGCGCATAGAGAGTCTATGGGGCATTGCCAAGAGAAAGATGAGAGACATGAGACCGAACAATGCAGAAGAGCTGAAGGCCGCTTTTGAAGCAGCCTGGTCTTCCATAACACCTCAGCAGTGCCACAGGCTGGTGGGCCACGCCGCATTGAGGCAGTAATTGCTGCAAAAGGGGCCCAAACCAAGTACTGAGTACATATGCATGCTTCTACTTTTCAGAGGTCTGATATTGTTCTATGTACAATCCTTGTTTTATTGATTGCATGTAATATTCTAATTTTCTGAGATTGTGGATTTGGGGTTTTCATGAGCTGTAAGCCATAATCATCACAATTATGACAAATCACGGCTTGAACTATCTTGCTTTGCATGTAATGAGTCTCATATATTAGTTTTACCTTTTAAGTTGCATTACTGAAATAAATGAACTTTTGCACGATATTGTAATTTTTCGAATTTCACCTGTATATGGACATTGCTTTTGACTACGGTTACTGATATTTATTTATTTTTTTGGCACCTATTACCAATAGAAGCACATGGATGTATTTATTATTTGATATCAGCACTATTGAGTGAAGCGCAGCACATTTTTGTAACTTTATTATTGATTTGACACACTAGTATGAGTATGTGTTAGATGCAGGCGATTCACAATTAGCATTCTGGATATCTCATTACCAGGGGCGGACTGACAACTCATGGGGCCCCCGGGCAATAGGGGATCATGGGGCCCCTGTGTCCTTGCCCAAACTCAAAAAAGCCTATGAAAAAGGTACCAGGGGCATCTCATGGGGCCCCCTACTGACCCCGGGCCCTCGGGCAGTGCCCTAGTTTGCAAATGGTCAGTCCGCCCCTGCTCATTACTCATATAAGCAGCTCACAAATCTTCACTTTTCTATTTCTATAATCAAACCAATTACATGAATTAAAAACTTAAAATGCTACACAACACAGAAGAATAGTGCACAGCAGCTCAAAGTGGAATAACAATGCACAACCCATGTAAGTTGAGCTCATAGGAACCACCTACTTTTGAGTTTAATGACATTTACGCAGGTAAAGACATATTATTTTTTCAAATTTACTTGCTTTCATTTTCACAATGTAAATGACAGTTCACCATTTTCACTGTAAGCAGATCACTCCTGACTTTGACTGATTGATGAGTATTGTGGGTTATAGCTCAGCAGAAGCTGATTGCCTTCAAACTATCTCTTTTTAATTAAATCTCTATACGGCCCTCATCAGATCACAAGTGGTAGCGAGTCATCCTGACTCATTCAGTTTTGTGAATAAAGCTGGGTAAACATAGTCCAAATATATAGCTGCTGTCCTTCTGACAGAAGCCAGTCAAAGGACCAGATTTTGTGAAAGGGACATACTGCAGAACCAGTGGCTGCGAGCACTGATTAGTGTGTTGTGGCGGTGGTGGGGAGTCCCCCTGTCAGAACACAGAGGCACAGCAGGAGCTGCACTAGCATCACTTGCTTAGTACAGCAATCTCTCAGTTTGGTTGTTCAGCCCGCTGGGTTGAATGAAAAAGAAATAAAAAATGAATGTGTGTACCAGGCTTAAAGTGTTACTAAATGACAACAGTAAAATCAGTCTGTATATGCAGTAACAGTATTCTTGGTATACTCACTGTAGAACCTAAGGGGTAATTCTCTGCATTGAATAAAAAGGAATTTTGATCCTGTCTTATCTGATCCTCCCCTTTGTTTACTGTCCCCAATCCATCTGTTGATAGAACAGAGCCTTGGGGGCAAGCTGCACATGCTCAGTTTGGTGTGTATTGCTAGAGTTTGCTTTTTTTTTCTGCACAGAGCCTTGGAAGCAAGCCGCACACATGCTCAGTTTGGTGTGTATTGCTATAGAGTTTGCTTTTTTTTTCTGCATGTGATCAACACAGGGCCAATCAGCGCAGTCCAGGCAGAGGGTCAGGGGTTCTGCAGCCTCATAGGATAATCAGGGGAGAATGAAAACTCCTCCTACAAGCTTTAACCAGTGCTCTTCTGAATACTGATAGAAGTCACAAGACTGCTCTAACTGCTGATCAGAAAAGGTATTTTGCAATTTATCCTTAGATTGTACGCCCCTTGAGGGTTAGGGACTGATGTGAATGTACTATATATATATGTAAAGCGCTGCATAAATTGACGGTGCTATACAAGTACCTGAAATAAATAAATATTTATTAACAATAATTTCATTTTCATGTTCTGTGTACAGTGCTGTGGAAGACCAGATATAGTGAATGCAGGGTCCTGGGTTTAGTAACACTTTAAATCTGAGCTTTCCCTATTGAGCTTTGTAAACAGCAGATTTTGAAGCAAAGCAGGTAAGGACAGTCTAAGAAAAGGAACCTAGAGGTTAAACACGTAATTATGACAAATTGTAACTATATACTTGACAGTTAACTGACCAAAACAGAAGATATAATTTAAAAATGTATTTTTAATAGTAAACATTTGTAGGTTTTCTTTGACCTTTTGGCCAAGATTCATGTGGACGCACCCACAGCTGATTCAAAACTAATCTACACAATCAGATCCTTTCCAAGTTATGTGTCTACCTACTATGCCAAATATAATATGTACATATGGAATGCAGGATAAGATGATTGCTGTGATGTGGAAGAGAAAAACAACAGAACACACTTCTTCCGTACTAGAATCATGTAATAAGTGGCGGGTTATTTAGTAACTCAAGTCTTATAAGGCTTCCCTCTTTCTGAATCACCTTTTGCTGTTAAACATAATTACGTCAGGAATGTAATTATAGATCAAGCACCCTCTATGTGTGAATCACAATTACAAGGTATAAGAAGTTCTGTAATGAAAGCATAGAGAAATCAGGATTCTGCTTAAAGGGAACCCTAAGTGAGATGTCTGAATTAATACATTCCTGAAAAGTTAACAGTTTACAGTGCAGTATCATTTTTTGCAAACATCTGTACATTCAGTTAAAATGTAGCGCTTGAGCTACAGACAATTGACTATGTCTAGGATGAAATGATGTCATTAGTTTGATGCAGTCAGGAAGAAGCATTTCCACAGTCTCCTCTCCACAAATGATCAGACTACAGCATTGTAACTTTGTATAAAGTCACAGGGTGAGAATTTGCAGCAGGGGCCAGTTTGTGTCAGACATTTGTGAACACGGCCAGGAACGATACAGGCATCAGGATTTAAATTGCTGTGCCATTTCCAAGCACGCATCTCAGTCTAAGGGCTCGCTCACACTTGACTGTTTTACCAACTCTTGCCAAACGCCCCTATAGCGTTTGGCAAGCGTTGGTCCGGCGTTTGCAGAGCGTTTTTTTTAACGCTCGGCAAACGGTGCATGCGTGGTTCAGTGGTGGTTGCTAGGCATTTGCCAAGCATTAAAAACACCCTACAAACGCCTATAATGAAGTTTGAATGGTGTTACTGCTCCGCAAACGCCCCACCAGGGGCGGACTGACCATTTGGAAACTCGGGCACTGCCCGAGGGCTCTGGGTTAGTAGGGGGCCCCATGAGATGCCCCTGGTACCTTTTTCATAGGCTTTTTTGAGTTTGGGCAAGGACACAGGGGCCCCATGATCCTCTATTGCCCGGGGGCCCCATGAGTTGTCAGTCCGCCCCTGCGCTCCACAACCGCGTTCAGGGGCGGACTGACCATTTGGAAACTCGGGCACTGCCCGAGGGCCCTGGGTTAGTAGGGGGCCCCATGAGATGCCCCTGGTACCTTTTTCATAGGCTTTTTTGAGTTTGGGCAAGGACACAGGGGCCCCATGATCCCCTATTGCCCGGGGGCCCCATGAGTTGTCAGTCCGCCCCTGCGCTCCACAACCGCATTCAGGGGCGGACTGACCATTTGGAAACTCGGGCACTGCCCGAGGGCCCTGGGTTAGTAGGATGAGATGCCCCTGGTACCTTTTTCATAGGCTTTTTTGAGTTTGGGCAAGGACACAGGGGCCCCATGATCCCCTATTGCCTGGGGGCCTCCTTGAGTTGTCAGTCCGCCCCTGACCGTGTTGCAACCGCACCGCAAACGCCAGCCGGGCTTTTGCGGAGCGGCACCATAGACTTGAATAGGAGGCTTCAACGCCTCCTGACTCGACCAGAGGCATCCGTTTTGCCACGACGCTAAGGCTCCCGTTAGAACAGCACCATGTGCTGCAATGTGCAGAATTGTCCGAGGTGTTTTGGAAGTGGTAAAAACGCTTCCCTAACGCCTTTCTGCTGCCTGCACACAACGCTAGTGTGAACGTAGCCTTAGAAGTAGATGCTGAACCTGGAAGATGGAGCTGTCCTCCTAATAAGAAACGTCAGATGAAGGCATTGTCAAAGGGAGTTCTGCGATCTCTGTGGGAAGTAATAAAAACATGGAAGTGTTACACTTATACAATAATTAGTATGCATGCACTTAACATAGAAAAATATATCTGATACTTAGTCCACTTTAACCAATTTGTATTTATCTCACAAGCTCTGCTGAGACTTGTAGTGACACGGACATTTTAATATTCATTATTTATTATTTGATGTATGAGATTTGGTGAGGTATATGTGTATTTATCAGGTTCATATCACATTGATACTGCATGCTCACGGTATGATTGAACTGGAGTTTTAATATTCAGCGCTGCACTTTTATTTGTATTCACTTTAACCCCTTGCCCTCCAGAAGATTTACCCCCCTTCATGACCAGGACTTTTTTTTTGCGATATGGCGCTGCATTACTTTAACTGACAATTGTGCAGTCATGCAACGCTGTACATACATGACATTTATGTAATTTTTTTCCCACACATAGATCTTTCTTTCAGTGGTATTTGATCACCTCTGTGTTTTTTATTTTTTGTGCTATAAACAAAAAATTACTGCAAAAAAAAAAAAAAACTATATTTTTAACTTTTTGCTATAAAACATATCCAATAAAAAAAAAATCGAATTTTGTCATAAATTTAGGCCAAAATATATTCTGCTACATGTCTTTGGTAGAAAAAAATCCCAATAAGTGTAAATTAATTGGTTTACGTGAAAGTTATAGCGTCTACAAATGGCGATATATATTGGAATATTTTTTTTTTTATATACTAGTAATGGCAGCAATCAGAGACTTATAGCGGGACTGCAGGGGGCATTCTGACACTGGAGGGAACTGACTAACTGCCACTGATATCTCCAGTGACACTAATACAGTGATCAGTGCTAATAAAAAGCACTGACACTGTACTAATGACACTGGGCAGGAAGGGGTTAACATTTGGGACGATCATAGGGTTACCTCTTGGCGCAAATGTGCGGCCTCCTGGCGTCTGGGCCTTGATGCCGAGCGGCCGCACATTTACGTGCAATTAAGAAAAACATAAGTGCTTAGAGCACGCGCCCTGCGCACTCCCAGCACACGTGTCTGGTTCTCACAGAAAGGTTCCAATCTCCTCTTGCGATCAAGACCTTTCCCGATCATGTGATCGTCGTGACAGCGAATCACGGTGGTCACATGACCCTAAAACCCCGCCCCGCCTCCTGAAACCCTTAAAGGACCATGAAAACGCCTGCGCCAATGGGTTAACTGCGTGCTAGGGAGTGATTTTATTGTGTACGGTGTTGTGTTTTACTAAGCAGACCTGCTGCTTTCTATCTCTCTGCTGTGCAGAGAGACAGAAAGCAGTACGTCCATGCTGACAGTAGAGAGATCTGTGTTGTTTACACGCAGATCTCTTTCCTTTCAGCTTCGCTGATGATCACCAAGTCCTGGCTGAAAATCTGTGGCTGGGTCCCAGTGATTGACATCCTCAGGAACCAATAGCAGTGCGGGTAGGGCAGCATGCACCCCTACTCGGAAATGCAAAAACACATATATTTATGTGATTTTTCGAAGCGAAGCCTCCCTGTAGCAGCACATCTGTTATGGGGTGGCAGGCAAATAGTTAAAGATGAATTTTAGAATAGGCAAATATTGTCTAAATGCAAGAGCCATGTGTAATCTTCCATGAATCTTGGTGTGCTTTGTGCATTTCTTCCAGATCTGTGCAGTAATCCAGCGTAAAGCTACCTCTGTGCAATAGCTTCCTTTAACCCCTTGGTGCCAACACCTCCGGCCCTTTAAGGGTTTCAGAAGCCGGGAGGAGGGGTGGGGTTTTAGGGTCATATGACCACCGTGATTTGCCATCACGGCGGGCACATGATCGGAAAGGTCCCGATCGAAAAAGGAGATCGGGACCTTTCCGTGAGTACCAGACATGTGAGCTGGGAGCGCTCTCAGCACATATGTTTTTCTTAATTGCACACAAATGTGTGGCCGCTCGGCGTCTAGGCCCATTTGTGTGTGGCCAGTGTGAACAGGTTAACAAAGACTGGTCACTGCTGCTCTCTCTCTTATGCAAGAAGACTTGGTCTCATCTCCGCCCCCTCCTGTACTTTTCTGCAGGCAGCCTCTAGTGGGTGGAGCCTGCTGGACCCCTCCCACAGCTCTGCTCTCTGAACAGGGTGTGTACAGCACAGTGATTACAAGGTAATATCTGGGTTTGCAAAGGCATTTGTTTCACACAAAGTGGATTTATATTCTTTGTGGCTTTTGGGGAATGTACTTCAATTAAATTTTCTGTGCCCGGAGTTCAGCTTTAAGGGTTGAAGCAATCATCTCATGCCTATGGAATCAGGAAAATGCTGTGCCACTCGTAAAATAAAAATGTAATTTTCTTGCCACGCTTCAGATGAATTTTTTATGCAAAAGAATGGTTCATCCAAATTTTTTATATCCCTACGATCTCTCCTCCCCACAATTTGATGTGTCTGTTTATGAAGCCAGGGAACAGAACATCCTGTGTACAAGAACC